TATCATGTAATGTGTCTTTGAGCATTGTTAAAAGCACTATGCAAGTATCATTATTATCATTATTATTAGTAGTATTGACTACACCAAAGCATTCAAGTCTCCTGCCCTAATGTTAAGTAGAAAGTCAAACGTACCTGTTGAATATAGCATAGCATAGCACAGGACTGTTTAACTTTTGATGTGATTTGTACAGTGGCTGACAGAGCTCAACAAACTGAAAATAAAGATAACACATGCAAAAACAAAAACACACTGACTGATGATTCCAGGGGACCCAAAAAAGTGATGAACCTGGCTGTAGTTCAATGCTTTGAGAAGTTATTGAAGCGTGTTACTCGTCAGTGGTGATGGAACTTGCATGTGCTGTAACTTTTTGTATCGCATGTGTCTACAAATCGATGAAGTTGTTTTCTTAATTTGTTTTTTCTATTTGCACGTGTTTTCCTAATTTGCAGTGTGTTGAGCTCTCTCGGCCACCGTAGATTTAGTTTGATTTGGTTTTGGGGTTGAACAACTAACCTCTCTTCTACTATACACGACTCAAAGCTCCCACTTTTCCAATTAATACTTTATTTTATGAGACTGTATCAGGGCATTGTCCTCTCTCTTTTAAGGGTGGTGTACCTAAGTGATCAAAAAAATATGATTATGCATAACACATAGGCTAATGTTTTTTTTATTCATAACAATATGTATTTTTTTATTCTTTTGACCCTGACGTATGTGACATGCATATTTATTCATTCAAATTCAAGACCAAAACTCGAAAATGACTGCTAACAGACAAACAAACAGACAAAGGACAATGAAAAATAACAACTCCTTGGAAAAGGTAATCTAAATAAAGGTTATCAGGATATGGAGTTGTGCCTTTTGATATTTTGAGTTTACCTGGTGATACTTAAAGAAAAAACACACAAACATTTCAGATGTATAATTCCACATTTTAATCAGTCTGAAGATTGTTTCATCTAAAATGTCAGACATTTTTTATATCTACATATATTTGGAAGACTGTTGATGCTGAGGGTTGTTGAAACTCAAACTGGGTAAGGTATGAACATGTGTATCTCTACATATCGAAAAGGAACAAGTGAACAAGTTGCTTGTTAAAGTGATTGTTAAGTAACATCCTATATCAGTTGCTATTATTATCAGTAATTTATGGATCTAGTAGGTTTCCTGGTGTCACCCTAATGGAATGCATACGTCAAGCCAGACAACAATGCAAGTGCATCAGCCGTCCTATGGATATCGCACGTCACAAGATCATCCTCCACCACAGCAGCAGTGCCTGCAGGGCTGAAGTGAACTGAACTTGCAGTGCTTCCCGCGACCACTGTGACAAACACAACAGTAGTGTCAGTGATGTGTGGGTCGTCGGACTCCTGGAATATGCACAGAGGGAGCAGTAACAGTAATGTTAAATTGAAGGAAACAGACAGTTGGTTTATAAAACAGATATAACACAAATCATCACTCAGCCGGTAAGTAAATAAATATTCTGTAGGCCATCTAACAATTGTTTGTTAGATGGCCTACATGTGAGTGTTCATGTAAATATAGTTATGGTGCACGATGTATATACAGGTAGGAGCAGTCTTTTTGGGAGATTTTTCTTTCTCTGTCAAGTATGTTGAACACTTCGTGGATCAACTCAGGTGTTTGAACCTAAAGGCTCTAAAATACATTATACTGCACTGGCATCTCCACAGGGAACCTTTTCTTCTTTTCTAGCTGTGGCACCAATGAAGAAAAGTCCATAACAGCATTCCCCATATTATTCAGAAGAGCCTCAGCAGGAGAGACATGATGCCTCTGAAAGTCAGTCAATTTTTTCTTGAGATGTCAGACATTTCAAGAACCGTTTGCATCTTCCAGAACAAAAAGGTCAAATTATAGTGACAACTGTCAAACGGTTTCAAAACAGGAACTGAGTCTTATGTGGCTTTTGCTTTAATATTAACTTCACAGACAGTTTTTTTCCTCCAGTCTCTAATTCAAAATTGTCTGATAGCACAGAAACTGTGGCTGAAATTGAAATCCACAAATATTTTATCAAAAGTCAACGGAGATTTATTTGTAAAACTACTGACAGTTCCAGATTAGTAAAATTAAAAAAGAATACAGCCGAACTGAATTTAATTTAATCCATGTCTGCCTGCAAGGAAAGAAAAACTGAGGTTTCATACAAGTTTCCTCAGCTATTGTAACATCCAATGTTTCGCCAACTTCATGTTTATTAGCCTCAACTTAATCATGAAAATCAGCTACTTCTTTTAGGTATTCAACATTTACTAGATCAAGGCATTTAACATAAACAGCAGCAACACAGTCAAAACTGTCAACAGGCCAGTGGTTGATTGAAAAGAGCTACGCTAACTTTAACATTATAGCCCTGCTTTGACAAAAACGTTACACGTTAATGTAATGCCAATGCCGTTGAAGTACGTGAATAAAGCTCTGTCTTAATAATCAAACATTTATATTCCAGCATGCAAAGGAAGTAATTTTAAGTTTACTTACAAGTTGCTCCATGTGTGAACTTCACGTGTCGTTTGTGAAGGCCAGCCATGTTGGATAGACTTTTTCCGGTAACAGCGATAAGGAAAGTGCGGCCATGTCGGGACGTAGATAACTTGCGTGAATGTCGCTCAGCAATAATCATTGAACTGGCAACATTTACTCACAAATGTTGAGCCACACACAAACAACACTAGATTCCTTGTTCAGAAAATCTTTTTAAATTGGATCAATTATTACAGATTTTTTGTTGTTATAAGTGTGTTTGGGTTACACTCAGTATGAGGACTGCATGCCACCAGTTACAAAGGGCTGAGCCACAGATTAAACATTTAGTAATAAATGGTAACAGCATACTGTAACCTGCTGCATGTACTGTAGCCCTCAGGTGAACCAAAGTGTTTACTCACCTACTGTATTGATGGGTTTTCTGTAGGGCATGAGACCAAAGGAGTACTGGAAAATGCCACGAGCGTGGAAGAGAGGCAGAGAGATACCCATGATGCTTTGTAGCCGTTCCTGCATCCACCGCAGCCATGTTCCTCTTGTGTTTACCACTTGATCAAACACTTCATTCTCCCCAAAGGAAAAGACCGGCACCAGATGAGCTCTGAAAATATTGATTATGAAAATGTTCAATTGATTTATTGAGCACCATTTCAAATGCGGGTGTTCTAAAATGATCTCATCGCAGAATTTGTGCTTTCCCAGGAAATTCCATGAGAGGGACATGAATGAGCCTCTGTGTCATTCTGTTTAAAGCCTCAAGAAACATAAAATCAATAGAATGACAAAATTCCTTGAATGATACATAAAAGTTCAAAGAACTAATTGTATTTGACAGAACTCTTTCCTCTTCTACCCAGGGCTCTCTGTGCTTACCCATGCTCCATGGCCATTTTGATGAAGCCTTTCTTCTTGGCCAGCATCACATTGTAGGACCCAGGGTGAGCATCGAGGGCCTCTGGGGCCCCGCCGACCGCTATTACAACAGCGTTACCGCCACCCTTTCTGGAGAGCGGATAGCTGGCGCTGTCTTTGTCAGATGGAATCAAACCTGAAGAGTTGGAGCAGAAAATAAAGGGTGATTCAAATAATACACATTTATCAAAGCAAGTCTAACAATAGCTCAAATCATTTTATAGAGTACTCGTTTGAAAAGGGCAGTTTTCTGTGTAAATGTTCTGGAGCTAATTCAGTGAGTCCTTCTCAAACAGTTCTACAATATAGTGTCACTATTTTATTGTTTGTGTGCTCAATGTTGTGTGCAGAGATTTTTATAAACTTAGAAAACTTTGTGCTCATCCTACCTGGTTTGTCTACAGTGCACATATTACAGTCAATGTTTTTTCATAAAATTAAACAGAATTTTCTTTATAACTGTCAGGAGTTTATATTATATATAAGGTGGAATGATTTACTGAACCTGAACAATTTTTTCACACATCTCATGTTGGCTATTTCAGAGGTCTGTTAAGCAATCAACACAATTTTCAGACCCATGTTTAAAAGTGTAATTCCACTACAAGTTATTACAGCAACAAAATGAACATGTTGCCATTACTTTGAAGACAAATAGCTAAAGTGGAAGTGATTCTATGAATGTTGTTGCCATGATGGAGATCAGCACCTGAGAATGTTTGTGTCAGTCTGCAATAAAAATAATCAAATTCTCAAAATAACCTGCGGTTTGACCCAGTTACACTGCACCTCTATGGGCCATTAACAATTAACAAGCCCAGTGTAAAGCTGATAAGATGAATGGTTTGCAAAATATGTGTTCCAAGAACAGACTGACAGAAGTGACAGAGGTTTGTGGAATTAAATATAGAGCATGCTTGCTGTAAATTACAGTACGTACACTGCATTGCACTGCATGTGGCTGAATGAAAGCCACCGTTGAAATGTGACTGAAAAGTCCAAACCTGCAGACATGATGTAGTCTCTGAAGAACGGGGCTCTGAACCAAAGGGGCAACATGAGCAGGTAGCTGGTGAGGCCAGGGAACAGCTGCCTGAATCCTGTGGCGTAGGTGCAGAAGTTAGTGAAGGCTCCTGCCACCAGCACGCCATGGGGGTGGAAGCCTAAGACGTAGTTGTGCCTCGGATCCAAGTCAGCTGTCTTCACCAGCTGGAGGAAGAACATTGTGTAAATGAGATTAATGTTGATGAATAGTTTTATATAATGGTCGGTCCATATTGTCCAGTTACATAGTAAAATAGGATAATACTTTATTTCAGATCATCTAAAGCCTCTTAAAAAAGCTGCAATGTCATGGCCCACAGGGCTGCAACCCAAACACGTGCATCGATATCCCAGTCCCCCCCCCGGCCTCTGCAAACACTTTCGAACAAGCCCAAAGTGAAACATACGTCCCTTCATACCTTCACTGTTCCCTCAGGGGTAGAAGGTTACTATTTATTCATTACAATTTCAAGGTTTAGGTAAGGTTCAACTATTTGGATTAAAATTCTATTTGAGAACAGCGGATGTTCTGCTTATGAAACCATTGAAGATAAGCTATTTCAGACTTTTCAGATTAAATGGTTTGAAAGAGAAAGAGGGAAAGAAAGTCTCCACGGTTTCACAAAAATCAATGGAGCACCCACTGAAAAAAGAAAATTGTTTACCGATTTAAAAAACATTACTTCAATTGTGAACACACAAATACATAAACATTTTTAAATTAAAGTTATCAATTGT